GTCCGACCGCCGCACACCGACGCCCTATTCCACGTCCCCGCCGCCACTGCTGCCATCGCCGCCTCCGCCGCTGCACAGAGCGTTGCCACCGTCGGCACCCCCGCCGCCGTCGCCACCCCCGCCGCCGCAGCCAACACCACCATCGCCGCCGCACACCACCATCGCCCCTCACCGGCGCACGGCCCAGTGCCAGCCATGTCGGCGGCACCAGGCGCCGTGTTTGTGGCTGAATACTGCAAGTGTCTGCGAATCGGAATCCGTGTTTGCTCATATTACGCCACACGTTATTTAACCAAACGTACCTGATTATCTGCGAATTTACAGCATTGTATGAGGGGGGAATCTTGTATGTACCTGGAACTGTTGTGTTGTGTTTGAGAGTTGGTTTTCTGAGTAATGGATGTATCTAGGGTCACAGATAACTGGCTAATAGGTTGCCAAGCGGAAGTCAGAATTGAGGTATGATTAGACACTGATATTCCGTTTGTATTTCGCTTCGACTAATCCTAACGTCATAAACGTTTTGTCTCAATGTGTTGTAATTGCTTGGATTCCCAAAATGTACAATATTATGTCTTCAGCAAATTTTGTTTTGTTTTTCTTTCAGCTTCAAAGTAAGTACCTTCTGGAATCCTAACAAATTCACGACTTTCCTTTCGATTAATTGAACCTTCCGCCATGATTAACTTGCGGACAGATTCATTCCGCAGTGATTTGAAATCCGTTTCCAGAGGAGACGAGTAGTTTCGATCAGTTTTTGTCGGATCATGGAAATATCATGGTCATGGATGCAGTTGGGATTTTTGGTGGGGAGGTTTTGAAAGATTACGCGTATGTTATTTCATTTCGAAAGCCAGGTACATTTGTATTATTCATATTTGGTGCATGGGATAAGAACAGCGATTGCGAGTTATGTGTTGGGATGTATGTGATGCTGTTAAATAACTTGTTGAAGGTAAATGAGTTTCTTTAGGAAGGGTCGGGGTATTTAATGTCGAAGGGTAGGTATTTTTTGTTGGCAATTGGGAAAAGGAGTGTCGCGTATTAGGTCAAGATATTAAAGAATTACTGCGGAAAGAGACACACGCGTGTGCTCTGTGAGTGGCTTCCAGATTTCTGCTATCGCAGTTAACACATTTCGGTGACACTACATCTTTGGCTAAAGTACAGTGCGACCAGTGATGTGGTGTATTACGCAATATGGTTGGCAAAGAGCGACATTTTTTTAGTATGCCGGAAATCCTGGCTATTTAGGCCCTGCACCTGGTCGATGCCGTCAAGCTTCTACTTTGATGAAACAGTGTAAGAGAATGTTGAAGTGTCATTATTTCTTTGCCTTTGAGTCTTCTAATGGAACTGTCGCAAGAAACGTTGTCCAGAGATTCTCTCGCAGCGTTCCGAACCAACTTGTTGAGCGGTTGCGTTTTTTTTTTTCTGAGCCATAAATTGTCAGCCGGAGGCTGATCGGCAGCCAGCCGACTGTTGATTGTAAATAAACCCCTTGGAATTTGGGATTCCTGGCCGCCGGCGCGCGTGGCAAAAAGGAGGCGCGGGCGCGTATTGTTTGTTCTTGAGCTGGCTCCGAGAAAGGGAGGCAGCGGGCGTATGATGACGGGTCATAAATTGTCCGCACTAAGAGATCCCCTCATCAGCGGTCGGTCGGGCAGCTGTCAATGCGTGTCCGCGAGCCTGGCGGTCGTTAGGGCCCTTTCGCCCAATAAAAGGGCCCCTCCCGCGGGACCTACTTAACTGTGATGGGAGCTATTTCGCATACGAAATTATATAATTTTATTTGGTGACGCCACAGTATATCCTTTTCACTTTCTGCGAATTTCAATTTTTCTAGTATAGCTGTTTTCGAAATAATACTGTAATGTTTCTTATAATTAGTGACAACAGCTTCTTGCCAGGCAAAGTGTAAATATGATTTTTTCGAGGAAATTG